CACGCATTCTTCCTTTTTATAGGGGTTGCAATTGGCTGCCTGTTGGTCACCTGTGGATTGAAGGATTTCCTGCATCAATGGAGGGAAAGGTTTTTCAAGCTAATCCCTGCTGCAGGGATGGTTGCTCGACTCGTTCATCGTGAGACTTTCCGCCTCGCTCGATTCTTCGTTGAAGCAGGATTATCAAGTGAATGAAGTTGAAGCAAACTACTTTGAATAGAAGAATAGGAAGTGATTTCCTAATTCAAGATTATTTCTAAACAGGATGGGACAAAACCTTTTTCTCCCCCTCCCCACCCCCCAACATCCCTCCAACCCGGTGCATCTTAGTTATTAACTTACGTCGGGTAAAATCTGAAAGCCTAATTCAATTAGAACTGTTTCTGATCATTTACAGATCAATATATCGAAAGGGCTGGTACTCACAACTGTGAAAAGCAGAGAGTGATCGATGTAATTGAATGTATCACATTTCGTGAGGCTCAAGCTGCCTCTGACTTACTCCGGAGAAACCTTACTGAAGCGCTCCAAGGCAGAGATAGCTGAATATTTTTTTTTCAAAAACTGCTTGACTGCTACTTTCATCGCCTGTAGGCTGTTCGTCTTGCCGGTGGTTATCACCTAGATTATGGAGATGGTCATGTGAGTTTCATTTTCATTGAGGAATACATTGTTAAATTGGTTGTTCCGGGTCTCTTTCGTGTTGCGGCAAGGGGAAGGTTCTGTCCCACCCCGTCGTTTCCACTCTACGCCCAGTACCACATATTCCAACGGTATGTGGATTCCCACGAAGCCAAATGGAAGACGTTCATGCTGAATACAATTCGTTCACCCGTGTGGCAAAGAGTTAAACGCAGCCGATTTTGAAATATTGCATGGCCCAGTAAAAAAGGGCGTAGACGAAATAATCTCAGCAAAAATATATTCGTCACTTACCATTCTCATCCCAGAAACTTGCACAGTACCATTCATTTCCTATTCCTGCGTCGCCCGTGCAATTCATTTGCTTCCAATCGTTCTTGTCCCCCTCGCACTTTCCGGTCTCGGGGTCATTTTCGAAGCACTTGTAACATCGCAAGGCACTCCCATACCCTGCAAAGAGCAGGAAAACTTGCCAATCTTGCGGAAAAGGCATGCATAACGGGAACATCAAACTTTCATCGATAATGGGAGTCTACCTACCGACGAGGCAGAGAAATATGAAAAACTTCATGGTGATGAATCTGCAACGAGAAGGTTCCTAGATTTGGATCAAGACTCACACATGAAATGAAAATGACAATTTTTTGGCCCTATCAACTCGCGAAGCAAAAGCTGCTTCGAATTTTCGCTATCGGAGTACGCGCATCCATCTGGCACGAATTGCAAGGGAAATGGAGAATTTTGGAAAAAGTGAGAGACGTACCTGCTCGCTAGACCCGGAGAGACGAGAATCGGCACGCCTCGGTCCGGAATCGCGATGGGACCGCGTCGGAAAGATGATAAGGCGCTATTTCGTGTCTCCCGAGGCCGAATGTATCAATTCGGAAAAGGAACACCTGGGGATGAAATTCCGGCTGTGCCGGCTTGTCAGCGGTGCTACAGGGTGGTCAAAGTTTAGGGTGACCTGCCTACCTTCGATTTTTCATCGGTATCATGAGAATTAACTAATTGGAAGTCTCGATTAAGGTGTCGTTTCGCGGTGAATTATTAGAGGAATTCGAAATTGGCATTGCACAATCGCTCGAGCGATGAAAACAAAACTTAACCTGCAAACTAGTCTTGAACTTGGGATGAAACCCTAAAAATAAAAACTTGAGGGAAAATCGTATGAAAATTTCTATCTTCTACTTCTCGTGTGAAAAAAAAAAAAAATATATATATATATATTTTTATATGCCCAGAAAATGCAGCAGTTAGTCCAATATCCTCCATTATAGAATTATTGTAGAAGATTTTGCGACAAATATATCAATTTGAAGAATGAATGCACATATGTATTAAAACGGAGTTGGCTTCATTGGCAAGCCGACGGAGATGTAGCTGCCAAATTTCGATGAGCCGAAGCATCTTCAGGTGCGGCAGCCTCAATTGCGAAACTCGGCATCCTCTCAGACTTGGACGAAACGAGTGAGTTTCGCAGTGGAAACGAGTTTCGAGGGCGGGAAGTTGACACGAGAAGGGCCATTCTGCTCAGCGTATTATAATTACATCAGACGCAAGAATGCCCTTTATTAAAAACGGTAGAGCATAGGCAAGCTAAATAACTCAGCTCTGCTGCATCGAAAGGAACATTTACAAAGCAACAGCGACTTTTACGACCAAATGCCTCAAAAGCAATGGAAATGGAGCAGCTACGATCACGGGCTCGGGGGAGATCCGCCTCCCTCCACGGACGCCGTCCGACTGATGACGTCGAAAGAGGAGGGACGACAGCGGTTACCCATATTTTGGCCGTGGACCACTAGATGGCAGAACCGTCATGTTAACCCTGTGACTTCTTAAAGCGTTCGCGACATAGCGTTCCACAGGTCGTTTCTGGACATATTTTTAAGCAAATGTCATTAGTGGCTTGGAACTTTTATTTCTTCTAATTAATCTCATTGTTGAAGGTAAGCACACTAGACGAATAATAACGCGAGACGACTCCGTAACGGCATGAAGCTATAAAATTCCGTCACGCCGCAAACGGTCAATATATTGGTTGATTGAATAGTTGTCCGTCTGTTGTTCGGTCGATTCCCGTAAAAGCAGGTTATGCTTCATCGACGATTGTATCCTGCGCTTCCCGCATAAGAGTCAGATTTAAATTTGACCATGGATTTATTTTAACAATCTTTTTTTTCTCTCCACCTTTTTTGCCTCTCATTCTCTCTTCAAGATGAGAATTCACGTATGATGCGGGATTGTCAATTGCCGTGTGCCAATTCCACTCCAATTTTCGGCGAGCGAATGAGAAAAGCCCCTCCCATTATGCAGGAGCATTTATATTGAAATTCCTGATGGAGAAGTTTCTTTAGTGTCCGTGCAGGGCTCCATTGTCAAGAACATCGTCCGTGCAGCTCTCGTCCGCTGGAAATCTTTCCATCGTTCATCCGGTCGCCTCTCTGATTGTAATCGTGGGCGGATCGTGACTGCATCCAACTCTGGGAATAATCGAAGGGAAAACTAATTAGAGAAGTCCAAGAGAGACCGGCGATCCTTGGATCGCGCAATGTCCTGAAGAAACTGTGGTAGAAGAGTGCGCCGTGCACCGCTTAATGACATCGCACTAATGTCTACGCATAGACGGTTGTCGCAGGAGCTGCTGCATACCCCCTCGTATAAAAGGTTTGCACCAGAGGAAAAAATTATTTTTTAAGATCGACTCCTGCAGAACCGATGTCAAAAAACGAAGTGCCGCAGACAGTACCTGTTGTATCGATTCGAATGGCGAAATTCAATCTGAGAAAGAGGAGACGGCCGACGGAGAGAAAAGGGAGGAGGACGAGAAGGGAGACGCGAGCTGAGAGCAGGATCGAGACGGCGCCGTTGCACAGGTCCGTCTGGCAGAGGCACGCCATCCAGCCATTGGTGCACGAGGGGTACATCCTCTGCATCCTCGCATCCTTCCCGGAGCTGCGAAGAGCCGCGAAGTCGTCACCTGTGGGACACGGGATTCCCTGCTTCACTCGGAGGGAAATATACGATGTATTTCGCGCTAATCTCTGCAGCATGGATGGTCGCACGGCTCGTAGATTTCGTTCAAAATCGCCTTGATTTTGGTGGAAGCAGGATTATGAAGAGAATGAAGCTCAAGCACGCCTTCCTTCCTTAGAGGCAAAAGGACAGTGATTTCCTAATTCAAGGTCGTTTCTATAGTTTCTCATCCACAATTAGTACCACATATTCCCACAGTATGTGGACTCCCACGAGGCCAAATGGAAGCCGTTCGTGCCGAATGGAATCCCTTCACCGGTGTGACAAAGAAAAAAGCAGGCGAAGACGAAGTACTCTGAAAAGCATAAATATATTCGTTGCTTACCGTTCTCATCTCAGACTCTGACACATTACCATCCAGCCCCTTTTTTCTAAATCGCCCCCCCCCCCCCCATTCCACTTTCTTCCAATTGGTCTCGCACCAATTCCAACCTTCCTGGAAATCGGAAGTCTACCCACCGACGAGGCAGAGAAATACGGTTCATGGTGATGAAGTGAGAAAAACGCACCAGCCCGATCGACCCAGAGAACACGAGAATCGGCTCGCGTCGGCCCGGCGTCGCGAGGGGAACGCGTCCGAGAGAAGACAAGACACAATCCCCGTCTCTCCCAAGACCGAAAATAGAAACGTGGGAAAAGTAAAACCAGGGAAGAAATTTGACTCTTCCAATCTGCCAGCAATGCCACTGGGTGGTCAAAGTATGGGCGATTTTGTTCGCCCGGTAACCCCACGAATTATTTATGCAAACGCCACCGGCACTCACTCTGAAGAGTAAAACCGCTAACCCAAAGTTTTACACCTTCCATTCACTTTTTCGAAGAGCGTATCGAAAAGACGTTTCGACCTCAGATTTTCACGATCAGACGCCTCAACAGCAATGTAAATGGAGCGGCTTCAATCACGGGCAACGGGAGGTCCACCTCCCTCAACGAACACCGTCCGACTGATGACGTCGAAAGCGATGGGACGACAGCGGCTACTCATATTTTCGCTGTCAACCGCTAGGTGTAGCAGCAGGGGCTCATTAGTTCCTCCCTCGCCCGCTAGATGGCAGAACCGGGATGTCAAAAGTGTTACTTCTATGCGCGTTCGCCACATTGCGTACCCGGTTCGTTCCTGGGCGTATTTTCAACCAGACGTCGTGTACCATCAGTGGCTTAGAACTTTTGTTTATTCCAATTCGTCTCATTGTCGAAGACAAGAACACTGAATGAATAATGACGCAAGACGACTCCGTCACGGCATAAAAGCTAAAAAAATTCCCTCACTCCGCAAACGGTTAATATGTTGGTAGATTGGATATTTGTCCGTCTGTTGTTCGGTCGATTCCCGTAAAAGCAGGCTATTCTTGATGGACGGATGTACCCTATGCGCCACGCAGTCGAATCAGCTTTAAATTCAACCATGGAGAGATTTTGACGAGCTTTCTCTCCTTTTTTTTCTGTCCCTTTTTCCCCCTCTCTTTTTTTCTCTTCGAAAAGGAGGATGCATGTATCATGTTGCATTGTCAATTCCCAAGTGCCATATCCACTCCAATTTCCGGCGTGAGAATGAGAAGCTCCGCCCGTCATGCAGGAGCATTTGGATCGAAATTCCTGATGGAGAAGTTTTTCCGTGTCCGTGCAGGGCTCCATTATCAAGAAAGTCGTCCGTGCAGCTCTCGTCTGCGGGAAATCTTTCCGTCTCGATTTTCCGGTCGCCCCTCTGATCGTAATCGTGGGCGGATCGTGACTGCATCAGACTCTGGGAATAATAGAAGGGAAAACTAATTCTAAAAGTGCAGGAGAGACTGGCGATCCCAGGGTCGCCGCATCCATTCGTTCCTAGGATTGACCTTCATCGATTCACGGTGGGAATTTCGTTGGAAGAGCACTCGTCGCGCTAGCAGCTCGATCGAGATCCTCTGCACGCGAGCGAATCCCATTCCGATCGCGACTCGCCGGATCCTCATTCGCGGGAAAGACGCATGATGTCTCTTCTGGGTCCTTCCAGTCGCTATTCGCAGGCACGGCGTCTCCAGCGCGTCCGCTCGGCTTTCGTGGCGCTCCTGCCCGCGTGCACCTTGCATGCATGGCGGAAGGCACCAGCACTCCCTTAAGCGCTGACGCTCCAGCCTCCTTCGACAGTCGCAGGATAGGCGACACGAATTCATTCATTCGTTTTTCGTGCAGTCACTGTACTCTCAGTACAGTGACTGCATGTCCTCTCTCTCGCTCGAAGACCATCACCTTCTTCTTTGCCACATGTGTCAGCAAGCCATTCCTCACGCACAGATCGTCTAGCCCAGGGGTCGGGAACCTATGGCTCACGGCCGAAAATCAATGCTGTTCTCGACTCGACTCAAGTCCGCTCCGCATTCGGCATCGAAGTCCGCCAGCATGATTTGTCTGTTTGCAGGCGTTGAGCCTTGTGCAGGCGTTGAGCAGGCATGGGAGACATTCAGGCTTTCCTGTCGCATCCCTCTCCGAATGCCGAAACTGTCACGTGGTCGCGAGTGATCGCGACCGTCGCGTGAAGCGATCGGCAGAGGGAGCAGAGACATTTTATTTTCGGTTGAAGAGGCCGAAATCCGCGTCTTCCTGCCGGTAAATACTCATGAGGATCTCGTGAGGAACTCGTGAGATCTTCGAACACTCTTAATTAAGAGTCCCCAGAAAAAAAAAAAAACCTAAATAAAATAAAGAAAGGGAGTAAGCGTAATGATTTCCTCCCGAATCCAGCGCACAGCAGTTTCTTCATTTTGAATCTCTCTGCCTCGACAAAGAATGACGCTTCAGTTCTGGCTTTTTCCTCATGCCAAATCCGGTATATCTTCCCGTTGACAGTTTCGCACGTCTTTCTTGCTTATACTTCTCGCTTAGCATTCGTTGCGACTCCCTTCGGCTTGCATTGTAACGTTATTCCCAATCTCGGACTGCCTTGGCGCGTCCTCCCGCATCCGGTTCTCGTCCTCGTGCCAGGAATGAGGACGGAGGCGCCAGGAATGAGGACGCCGAAGATGGAGAAAAGAGGGCGCCCCGCGTCCTCAAGTCGCGATGATGCAACGAATTATGCAACGTCGCATCTCTGCACCGGTCCGGTCCCGCTCGCGGTTCCTTCCCGGAACCGCGCGGTTACTCCTTGGAATCCCCGAAGCGGCGGGGAAATCCCAAAAGGTTTTTTATGGGATCGATGGCGCAATTCGGTGCCTTTGGGCGCCGTTTGGTGCCTTTTGGTGTTTTTATGTTGCAATGAATTCTTGGTCGCTTGCAATTGTAACCGTTCGGTTAGTGATTTCGAGGGCCCAGGTTTAAATCCGGTTTAATAACTTTCTAAACCGCTCGTACAGATGAGAAGCTGCTTTTTTTGGCATCATGTAAGGATTTTTGCGCGACAAAATGGCAAAAGATCATTGTTCCTCGGGAAATGCCTTTCGACTGGTCTTCATGTCTTCATTCATGTCTTCATTCATGTCTTCATAATTTTCTTCGTGAAGACCAGTGGAAAATATATTCGGAAACTCTTAAAAAATTCCTGGAGATTAACTTCCCGAATTGGTCATTGGCGGAAATTGGCAGAAAAGCAATTGGTCACGAAGCAAGCCCCCATAGAATTATAATTTCTTTTCAGCCAGCGATTCAGTCAGTCATCCTCGTCATCGCCAGTTATTATTTAAATTAATTCAATTATTTTAATGATGTCCCCTTCCAAGGTCCTTCATCACGTGAAAGATGATGAATTAAGCTTAAATATGCATGATTGCAGAAATGCCAAAAAATATGCCAAAATATGCGTTTTCATGCTCCAATCGGTAACAGATGACTTTCTTCTCGAGAAATTAAAAAAAATTAACTTGCTTTCCACCTGGGGTCACATGTGACTCCAGGTGGAAAGCAAGGGGGTCACATGTGACCCCAGGTGCTGCCCTTGGTGACAACCGTTTGCATTTCTCTTTCTCTTTTACGCCTGTCGATAAATCGATTCACGGAGATGAATCTTCACAGAGAAAACTCTCCGTGAAGGGTGCGCGAGGGTCGTTAATAATTATCTTTAATAATGATAACCGTTCCGAAGAAAAACGGAAGGAGTTCACGAGTGAAATGTGGAACAGGAACTCTCAACGGCGCGCAAAAAAAAAAAACAAGACTTGAAAGTCGCACGGTGATGCGAATGAAACCTGAAGAAAACCTCGAGCCACCTCGCTATTGCGCCGCAGCTGAGTTTTTAACAGGTTGCAGCTCCAGACAGGTTGCACCTCCAGACAAGTTGCACCTCCAGACAGGTTGCACCTCCTGACAGGTTGCACCTCCAGACAAGTTGCACCTCCAGATAGGTTGCACCTGAGAGAGTCGGCGACAGCGCCTGAAGACTCTCGGAAACGTCCGGTCAACCGGGCGAGGAATACCGCGAAACGTGAGTCACGCGCCGTTGAGTCACCGGACGGCGAGACCCGCTGACCCCGCCCCACGTCACCGCATCCCCCGTGACGTCACGGACCCCCTCCCCACAAAAGCGGCCCGCCCGCCGCCCTCCCCACTCAGTCCACTCTCGCCCGCCGCACGAGGAGGATCGCTCTCGCATCCACCATGCTCGTCTCGGCTCTCTTCGTCTTCCTCCTTCCCTTCGCCCTCGCCCACGAGTGGGAGATGGGCTCGTGTCCCACGGACATCCCGACCATGAAGGGATTCACCATCAACGAGGTCAGTTTCTCGAGTTTCATTCGCGGCTGGCACACTTTCGCGGGGAATACAGGCCTCGGCGTGGAAGCACCACAATTGGCGCTTCACTTGCGGCGCTTCACTTGCGGCGCTTCACTTGCGGCGCTTCACTTGAGTGCGGGGGGCTAGGCGGCAGATCGGATTCAAGACTTATCTTCGAGTCGACTTCGACCAAGATCCTAGTCGAATGCATTGAATGTCGACCTAGATTTTACCATTTCACTTGAAAGAGTCAATCGCGACCTAGATTTCAGGTGAATCCGTTCGATTCCAATTTTTTGGGGGAAAGTCATGACGAACATTAAGTCTCGCGTGCATTTTATAGTCGGATGGAAACCTCTTTTCCTAAATGTAAGATTCTAGACGAGTCGAAGGAACACCTCGATACCCTCTTCGTCACCCTTCGTCACACCTTCATTACACCTTCGTTACACCTTCGTTACATCTTCGTTATGCCTCTTCATTAATGGTCTGGGAGTGCGACGGTATTACTGCCGGGGCAACAATCGACATCTCGTATGAGCCGCGTTTACGAAGCCATGAAGCCTGTAAGCCATTCTTCACTGTGCTCTTAATTAGCTATTGCGTCTATCTGCCTTCCCCTCCGCAGTTAAGAAACGGCCTTCAGCCTTCGGTTCCGCTTCCACGACTCTGTTTGCAGGAGGTGCCCCACCACATCCCGCGAGCGAATTTCACTCTCATCGACCTTCAGCACCCATACTAGTTTTCCTTGAGTTCTGTTAGGAAGACGTTTCACCGACCGAGCGAAGGGGGAAGGGGGAGGGGGGGGGAGGGGAAGGGGGGAGGAGGGAGGAGGGGGGGGAGGGGCTCGATGAGTCCTCCTTGCACCCGCCACTGCATGCCTCCCGGGCACTCGCGGTCGCGTCTATATGCATGGCATATAGACGCGGGGCAGCCGAAGGCATTCCAATGAATCCTTCCGCTCGGTAAACCAACGCCTCCACGTCCCGTTTCATCACGAGGGAGGTCGATGGCCGCGACCGGAGTTCGTCAGCACCACCCCGCCGCGATCACCGAGCCGCCACGCCACCCCGACCCAGTAAAAGATCGCCGAGGACCCCTCCCCCCCCCACCCCCCAAGGGGGTCACGACCCGCTATGTCGGTATACGGGGAAGGAGGGGGATGTTTTCCGGAAGGTTGTTTTCGGAAGGCGGAAGCGGCGCGTTGCACGCCGATCCTCCATGAATGGAGGGAGGGCTCTAACCCCGCAATCATCCAACCCAGATGGAAGCCGCCTCGCTCCCCCACGACGTTTCCCGCCGGTTTCCAGGGCGTTCACGAGTCATAATCACATATTTGGGAACTCCCGTCCGTGACCGTCACGGCCCACGACCGCGACGCCCTCACATCCCGCGACGCCCTCACATCCCGCGAGGCCCTCACATCCCGCGAGGCCCTCACATCCCACACGCCCGTCGAATCGGGGACGCCGGGCGGATCATCGCTGCGAGGAGGATGTGGATCATCGCCGTGAATGGAAGACAATGAAGAAGACTTCCGTTCTTCCTCAGACGGATGTGCCCCGAAACGGTCTACGCGGCACAACCCCTTTGTTTCTCTCCGGGGAAACGGGTCAAGCCGCGCTTCGGGCATGAATAATGCAACGAATCTCCGAGCCAATAATGATAAATTATACATTTATACCACCGGATGTCATTCTCAGATGGAAATACGACCTTGGAGCGGAAGATCAGCCGATTTACGAGAATCGCGCCTGCCGAGTGTGTTCTAAAACACCTTTTGCCGAAAATGCTTGTTCAAGGAGTTTCTCTTCCATCTCCTGGAATGATAAGCGCAAAAATGCAATATTGGCATAATGCAATATTGGCATAGTGCAATATTGGCATAATGCAATATTGGCATAATGCAATATTGGCATAATGCAATATTGCGGTGAGCATGATAGCCGCCGCCTCTCGCGGCATTCAAGCAGGCCATTCACTCCCGTGATTCAGATCCCCAGAAATCCGGCTCACCGGGAAATCTGGCTCACCGCGAAATCTGTCTCACCGCCTTCGTCGGAAAGTCCCTCGACCCATGTCGCGATGGCCCGCGACGTCGGCACTTCCTCATATATGCCTTGTTATCGCCCGTCACGTGACGCCTTGTTATTATGCTCGAGGCCGAGGAAATGCGCTTCCCAGGCAGAATATCTTATAATGATTTAAAATAAAAGATATCTATTTAATTATTTTTTTCTAAATTTAGTTAATACTCATTTAATTTGATTTAAACGAATGATGAATTTTCGGTCGCAGCGATCGTCGAGCCTCGACATTTCGCGTCGATCGCTCACGGAGACGCCGCGAATACCGAAACGGCTCACAGGTGAAGTTTCTCCGTGACGGAGACGTTGACTCCGAGGAAATCCGGGAGAAAAAAAGAGAAACCGGTTGGTACAGATTATTATTATTATTATTCCCGGAACCGGACGGATCCGGGACAGCATCTCGGATTCCGGCTCGATCCGGCTTTCCAGCCGGTTCCAGCCGCGGAAAAAGGCCTCCCTTCGCGGCGTGAATCACGATCGCGGTGATTCATTCCGCTTGAGGATGCAAAAAATTGCGCCCTTTTAAATTGCGCCCATCGAAAATGGGCGCAAGTCACGTTCCTCCTCATCAATTTTAACATCTCAACAAATCTGTCTTTTCATTCGCACATTGGGGAAAAAAAATTATGGAAGCGAAATTAGGAAAATTACTTAATTTACGAGCTGCATTCATCACGGACGAAAGTGAAAACGGTCCAGAAACCGTTTCCACGCCGTTAACCGCTTCGAGTTACCGCAAGACGACCGTGACGGAACCGGGTCGTGAACCCGGTCTCGAATTATGACCGACCCGTTCCCCGTCGCCCTGACCAACATACGAACACGTATTTCCTCATTAATTCAATGCGATTTAATGAGGCAATTAAAAAGCTGAAGGAACCGCCGATCCTCCGGGACGCCGATCCTCCGGGACGCCGATCCTCCGGGACCCAATCGATTTACCATGTACTTTCCTCCCCCACAGTTTCTGGGCGGCTGGTACGTGATCCGCAAGACCGACACCACGAGCAGCTGCCTGAAGAACGAGTACCTGTTCCACGAACCCAGCGGGGAGTACCGCATCCTCGAGACTCGGGACTGGTTCGTCCTCGACCGACTGGGGATCGACACGGACCTCGCCCACGAGGGGAAACTCGACTTCTTCCACGGGGACCAGGCCAGGATGAGGGTCAAGTTCAATCTCAGTGAGTTTGAGTTCCATCTGGGATCGATTCCGGATCGATCCTAGATCGATCTCAATGTTTTTTTTGGGGGGTTGGGGATGGGCTTCTCTCGAAGCGTCTTTTTCGGGAAATGTGAGGATGATGTCGCGATGCAATTTCGTGCTTGAAAGTCGCAGCAGCTGGACCGAGTCCAAAGTTTTTGGCAAAGGGTTTGTGCAAACTTCATTTGTGCAAAGCTGGTGGCGTGGAACGTGCCAATGGTTCCCTTAGGCTCCTCGAGCGCAAATATTAGTGCAAAAATTATGCAAAAATATTAGTGCAAAAATTATGATTCCTTGAGGAGAGAGAGCGTTCCGATGCTTAAATGACTCGTCTCGTTGAAATCCGCTTCATCCTTTCTCTTTCACGGGCTTTTCGTTTCTCTCCTCTCTCTTTTGATCGTGACCTTGATATTGAAATGGCTTTGAATCCGCCTGGCAGAGAGATTCACCCTTGCTCGGATGCCCTGTCACGTCCTCTTGTTTCCACGCCTTCCATTACCGCCTTCCATTACCGCCTTCCACCCCCGCCTTCCGTTCCCCGCCTCGCCAGGACGTCAAGGGCACTACTCTGAGTACTGCTCTCGAGTACTTGATACGGAACGGAATCTGCTCGCTCGGGCATTGCGTCACGAAGGGCGTGAAAGCGCGCTCACGTCCAGCGCGCTCACGTCCAGCGCATTTCGCCGTATTCCGACCCGTGTGACGAAACCGGGCGGTTTCGAAAGACCCGTGCCGTTATGCGACGTGGTCAGGCCGAGGTCGGCGGTCTCCGCACCGCGCAGATTCCCAATTCGTGCCGATTCTTTTGTTATTCATCTGAAAATATGGGATACAATGTTTGACGACCATCAAATATTTGCTTCCCTTTTTTCCAATGAATTTGATTTTCTTTTGCGACGATTTTTGAAGCTGGAGTAGAAGCACGAAAAATTTTTTTTTTTTGCACGACAGCTCTCGCCCATATCTCGCATAACGGCTATTGCCAACTCCTCAGCACGACGAACTTCCGCCAATTTTCCGCCAATTTTTCCCCCCTTAGACATGGCCGGCAAGGCCGACTACCTCATCCTGGACACCGACTACAAGAACTTCGCCGTCGTCTACGAGTGCCAGGACCTCGTGAACTTCCTCGGGCTGGTCCGCCTGAGGCGTCGCAGCGGGGCCCTCCTCGTCCGGGACCTCGCCTACGACAACCCCACGGTCGTCGAGAAGGTCAGGGGCTTTCCGCATCTTACCGAAACAATACCGAAACGATATTATTTAACATATTTTTTTTTTCCTTGAGAATTTTTAAGGATGTTTTAAACATTCATGAAAATTTTTAAATGATAGATAATAATAAATTAAAATTTTTTACGAAGTTTTCGGCAAAAGTAATCGACTAACATTTTCAAGGAGTTTATTAAAGCCAAATAAATACCTTATAAAGTATTTTTTTAAAATTACTTTTGAATATTTAATGAACATTCAACCTTTCGTCAAGGTGGAAACGAACCGAATGGAAACCAAAAAAAAATTCACCAATTAAATGAGCAACGCTCAGCGACGCCGAACGGTTCCGAGCCGCAAAATTCTTTCAGTCAACCTTGAATCGTTCAAGCGGAATTGATACAATTAATGGCCGGATGCGTCGAGACAGTCATGAATTTAGTAATATTCGGGCATTGTGCCTCCCTTCAAGTGTTATATTTATTAATTTGTATAATGGAAATTATGTTGTTTGCAAATAATTTTCCCATATTAATTTATTTTTATTTTTTTATCAATGTTAAAGCGCAATATTAACGCGGTTTCCGTGCTCGTATAACTTGGAGATCCACCTTTGAATGCCAAGGTGGCTTCACGCCCTCGGAATCCCTTAATCATTCCTTAATCATCCCTTAATCATCCGTTAATCATCCCTTAATCATCCGTTAATCGTCCTTCCAAGGTTCCAGTTTGCCCCGCAGTCCTCGAGCACCACCGGCCACAGCGGTCCTGATACGTGTTTGTATTTTTATATAAAAAAAAAATAATTTCCATATGTGATTACTTATTAATTTTATAGGATATACTTTATTTAGTATATATTTATATTTATTTATTGATTAATTGTATAAGAATTTGTTTGATCATATTAAAAAAAAAATTATTTATATAATTTTAGCAAAAATGTTAACTCCGTGAAAGCTGAGTTTCTCAACAGTAGCGTGCAACGTGAAGCATTTGGACGACAAATACCTGTCCAGCAAAATTCACGATTCATATTTATCCGTATTCAAAAGGGAAGTCGCCATATTCAAAAGGGAAGTCGCCGCATCCCCCCCAGCGACACGGCAGGCTTTCCCATCGACTTCAGAACGAGGCGGAACGAGTTCGCGTTGCGCAAGCCTCGAGTGAGGCACGAGTCGCACTTCCCTCCTCTGGTTGTTTATTCCTGGAAGGCGGTAGTGGGTTCCCGGAAGGCGGTAGTGGGTTCCCGGAAGGCGGAACGAGGCCCATGCCCCTTCCGCGAACGGCTTCTAATCTTAACGCGAGAATCAATTAAGGAACCGGTCGGACGAATTCCCGGAAAAACCAATTTCGAGGAAGGCCTCGAGCGGGCGGCAGACGGAATCGCTCCCACGATGATATCTATTTTGGGAGCGGCTGGGTCCTTAATAATAATATTTAAAGGTTCGACCTCGATCCGGTACGTCTAAATGGGCAGAAATGCTTCTTCGCATCCCGACCATAATTACGAATCTTAGAACTCGAAAAACCTTAAATTCTTCAAACATTGGAAACCGCAAAGCTTGAAAACTCTATAACTTAAAAACATGAAACATTTATTAACACTTAAACCTTTAACCTCAAAACCTCTTAAACTTAAAAGCCTAAAATTATAAAACCTTAAACCTTGAACCTTAATAACCTTTAACCTTAATAATCTTAAGCTTTGAACTCATTAAACCTTCCTTAGAAACCTCAAACCTTAGGAACCTCAAACCTTAAGAACCTCAAACCTTAAGAACCTCAAACCTTAAGAACCACAATCGGTATAAACTAACCCGGACGCCTTCCCTTGCAGTCCCTACGCCGCCTCAAGGACCTGGGCGTGTCGACGGACGTCGTGGCCCACGAGGGCTGCGCGAACCCCAAGTTCAAGTTCACGGCGGACGAGCAGCTGGTGAAACGGGTGACGGAGACGGTGCGGGGGGTCGGGGAGGCGGTCGACACGGCGGTCAAGGACGTGGGGAAGGGGATCGAGAAGGTGCTCAAGGACAACCGGCACGTGCTGAACGGGGCGGAGGACGTGTTCACGGGGGTGGTGGAGGGGGTGAGGCGCGTGTTCGCCGCGGACTCGGCGCCGGATTCCCTGCCGGTGCTGATCACGCACGAGGACACGGAGCGACCGGAGACGGCCACCGCCCGAGGCAAGCAGGACTCGAACGTCATTCTGTGATAGGCGAGCCGAGTCCTGCCGTTTGCCAAAGACTGTTTTCGCCCGGAGAGATCGCTTTTCGCCTCTTACGTTTTGGTCTGGAAATGTAGACGTTTTAAATACGGCCTTGGTTTTGTTTTTCGCCCTCGTGGAAGTGGGACGCGCGTGACGTGCGGGACGACTTCGCGTCCGGTTCGGGAAACCGGTTTTCCACTTTCGCTCGCGTCCGAATGAAACGTCCGAATGATTGCTTCGATGCAGATGGAGAGTCACTTCGGACGTCTCTACGAAGACCATGGGAATTTAGTAGTCACCTTTGGTCTTCAGTATTCGTTCTTTCTCACTTCGGCAGTCTTCGTCGATTTTCAATAACGACCACCGTGAAACTTCCCCGAATCGATTTTTCCACTCCGTGTCGAAGGCGCGAAATCCCCGATTCCGCCTTCCCTCTCTCGCGGAATCCGCGAAACGGCCAAAAGGAACTGCGAATGCCAGCGAACGAAAGACGCGGTCGAGGCCCTTCGCAGCAGGACCAGCACGGAGCCCGAACCTAGAACACGGAGAACTCGAACTGCATCCATTTGCATTTGCCGACCGTTATGGAAAAGCTGCATCGTGGTGCTTCTTCCACAGCCTCCCTGGAAGATCAATCTCTTTCCAATTTTTCCACATTCATTTCCTGAGCTGGCATCGATTAGAGCTAAAGTTCTCTAAGGATTACTATCGTACCACAGAGGGATTAGTCTGAGGTTCATCCTTCCTTTACGGGAAGAAAGTCTGAGTCAAGCCCCCGAATGTCGCATGACGAAGATGCATCTGGTCCACATTGGTTAACACTGTCTTTCTCCGGAGAGAAGACAGGAGCCGCGTTGCGAGGTTGGAGAATTCGTCGCGGCGTCTCCTCGGACAGCCGGGACGCAAGCCTGGAGTCTCATTCTGCCGGGTTGCCGCCTTCTTCGACGGGTCCATCTGGCAATTCCAATGCCTTCCTTTAAGTTATACGCGGGAAAACATCGGGTACCGCATGAAAAATATTAAAAAATTTTTTTTTTAGGATACCTGAGTGAAAATTGCAAAATTGGCAGTTAGGCGCCATCTCGAGTCGATCGATCGAACCAATTTTTTTTCGATTTCGTGAGGATAACTCCATGTTGAAACGAAATCGAGACGAAGGGAACCGTGAAAAACGAATTTGCACGTAAGAGCTTCCAAAACGGTTTTCGCTAACCCACGAGTAGTCCTACTTGCTAAAAAAAAATTCAGTTTTTTTTTTAAACGAATTGTTGGCATTTTATTCGGGCTCATTCTTAAACCGGCCTTCCACCTGGAAGTCCACATGACTTCAGTAGTCGCCTGTCGCCTTCAGTAGTCAATCTTCCACGCTTCGGTAGTCTACCTCATTATTCTTCAGTCTCGGTCGACCTAAATATGAAGCTTATCGCGGGGGTAAGGGTTTCAGGGCGCGATTGAGCCAATTTTCAATTTAATGACGACCATTACGGTCGGCTTCCCAGAATGGATTTTCCTCTTTTCATCGTCCGAAGGCGTGAAATCCCCGGAAGTCCTCGATCCCGCCTTCGCCCTCCCGCACGCAACGGCCGTGGAAACCACGAATGCAAAAAAAATAATAATAATAATGCGGCTGCCATGAAAAGACGCAGCTCGCGTCTTTCCCAACTGGACCCGCATAGAAGCGGAATTTTGCAATATTGGTATAAATGACCCCCTATTTACCATTCACCCTTGACCGAATAGAAAAGCTGCACCCCGTTCTCAAGAGGATTCCGACCACCGATCACTCTAAACATTGCTCTTGGCCATTCCAGGTCCCACTCGCCGATCAACAAATTGAGAAGTACAAGCCGGGCGAGAAAGCCTCTAAAAAGTCTAAATGTTCTCGACGGCCTCTTCAGACATCCTCGATCTCCGGGAGATAGGAACATTTATATCCAAATAATAATGAAATCATGTGAAAACTAATTTTCAATGGCTTTTCCTTTCTTCAACCCTTCCCCCTCCATTCTCTACGGTTCTCACTAACGTTAGGTCTAGGCCTAATCAACAGACTACCCTCAGGTCACGCCAAGACCTACCTTTTTTCTTCCAGAGGAAATTCTCGACTTACAATTAGGGGTATAGGGTAAATCCGTGGTCATTGAGACGTCTCGTCGAGGACGTGGAACATTAGGCCTATCTGGAGTTCCTCGAACCATCTCGAATAGGTCTGGGGAGGGAATGCCTCCAGGAAGCATGGAATCCATGGCGCGCGCCATCTTGATTCAGTGATGTCCGGGTAGGGATAATGTCCTTTCAGAGGAATCTTCAAGTCGCAGGGATAAGCTATCCATCAGTCACGGCTAACCACGGCTGCATTCTCAGCTCAATTCATGAACTCAGAACGAATGTCTCATACACTAAAAAAAAATAGGAGATCCAGACGCCGATACGAGAGTCTTGAATCGATTTCGGCACGGTATCCGGCAACACTGGGAGATGGTACCGGAGCAAGCACTCTAAGCCAAATTGAACGACAGCTTATTTCATTTTTTTTTAAATGGCAAAATGGTGATTCACAAACAACGAAAAGGCTACTTTTCGTTCTACCTTTCTCATGGTTGGTCTTTTTCCTCCCTGCTTTGCTATTCTGTGTTGAGAGAAGAAAAATGACTAATTTCGTTCCTTTTGATTCTCTCAGAGAGGCTAAATTTAGTTACGGGAAAGGGGTTGAAGAAAGGTAATAGGCGCTGCCAAAGCTTATTGATAAAATCGCATGGACCATCGACCGATGGCGTTCGGTTTTCGCGTCGCGTTTTCTTCAATTAGAATCGATGGCTTCAAATCTCGTTTCTTTTTAGGGTATTCTCCAGATACTGACTGCGACTTCTTCCTCTTCCCAAAGTTAAAGATTCCTCTGAAAGGAACGACATTTTTGAAGCCATCGACCCAATCAAAGAGAACGCGACGCGAAAACTAAACGCCATCCCAAAAGAAGACTACTTCGAAGGTAACATTAGGCTCACCCTGTTCCGTTTTATCGCCACAGTCGGAGAACTTTTGAATCACACCTCGTATGTTTCCAGGTTCAGAGTTCAATCTCCGACTATTTCTAACTG